ATAAATATGTTTTAAAAACTGCTATCCATGATGATCGAGTCATTTAGAAAAGATTACAGTATCATAGAATAATAATACAAGTAAGAGTCACAATGGCTTTTTTTCCATAAAAAGACTAGTATATATTATTTTAGTGGCAGAGGATTACATTTTACGATTTTCAGTGGTCTTCAGTGAACAGGGAAATTACACTAGTTAACACTCAACCATCTAAACTAATACAGGAACTTCATTGCTCACAGCCTTTGCTTAGTCAGACCTCAGATGGGAATAAAATCTCCTGTAAAAGTGCCCCCAAAGGGAGATGTTACAGTGAAATGGAACCTTTAGAATGAAAATAAAAATCTTCTGTAGGTGGAAAATAGTTGACGTTTTTAAGGGTTATGTGATCCCAGTGAGGCGATGAAGGAGAAAGTCACAGCACATGTGACCTCTGGAAGCTCCAGACAAACAGAGGAAAAGCAGGACGGGAGACTGAAAAGGGACACCAAGGGAGGGTAGAATTATGACAACTTGGAGGCTGCTACTTTTTCACAGTAGTTTTAAAAAAGCATTTTCCTTCATTAAGGTTTGTCTACTGCAGTCTTTCAGTGGAGGAAAACCATTGCAGCTTTTGTGCCATTAAAGGGTTAAATATCATGAAAAAAGAGGTGACTTACCCCAGATTGATGCATTACACAGCTGCTTTTGTGCTGAAACAACTGTGTCATTCTGAAGGAGGTTTTATGTTTTGTTCTCTCAGTGGAGAACTAAATTCTTCAATGACTTTATTCATTCTCGGGGATTACTCAGTGTTTACTTTCTTTGCTAATGGCAGGCTTTGCATGGTAACGTGCCCTTTCTTGTCGGGAGATTTGGCAAACTCAGAAACGTTGGTTTTTTATTTCTTTAAAATGTCAGAACTTGGTGGACGCAAAACAATTTTTTGAACTTCAGAGGTTTGTTTTTGTCTAGACTATCATTCACACCTGTTTAGTAATCTTGAAGTTGGAAGATTCTTCAAAATACTTCTGTGTGAATAAAAAGTGTTATCTTTAGGTATGTCATTTACCTATGTTGTTGTCAGTAGATTCATAGTTCGTGTAATCAATGTGGGTTCCCTTTTCAGTGATCATATTGGTGGCAATGTGAAAAGAATTAAATAATTTCCAAATAATTCCTGGGAAATAGGTAGGTAGGTAGTTACATTTCAAGGTTACGAACACTTCTCGACTTCCCTGGTGGTGCAGTGGTTAAGAATCTGCCTGCCAATGCAGGGGACACAGGTTCGATCCCTGGTTCTGAAAGATCCCACATGCCGCAGAGCAACTAAGCCCATGCGCCACAATTACTGAGCCTGTGCTGCAGAGCCCGCGAGCCGCAACTACTGAGCCCATGCATCACAACTACTGAAGCCCGTGTGCCTAGAGCCCATTCTCCGCAACAAGAGAAACCACTGCAGTGAGAAGCCCACGCACCACAATGAAGAGTAGCCCCCGCTCGCCACAACTAGAGAAAGCCCACATGCAGCAATGAAGACCCAACGCCGCAAAAAAAAAAAAAAAAAAAAAAAAAATCAAGGTTATGAACACTTCAAAGGGCTATAAAACTGCGAGTAGCTTTCTTTGGAGGTCTGCTTTCTCATCAGATAAAAATAAGAGTACAGATTGCTGTTTCCCTCCCTAAGATAAATGATATATTTTCCTCATGTAAACAGTCTTCTCATAGTGTTCAGAATAATTGTATTTCATCCTCCCATACTACCTCTGAGCCCTCCCACTCTTTCTGTAGACCCTCAAAGGGTTATTCTGAGAAAAGCAGGTTGCACTTGGAGGTTGGAAAGAGAGCCTTTCCTTAGATGTTGAGAAACAGGTTCTTAGAGATTTTAGAGGTGGGTGCCACTATTTTTGAAGACTTTACTGTTTTCACATTTGTTTCTGCATTCTTTTAATGCTTTGGTTTTGAGAGGAAAGTTTCTTGACTGGCTTCTGGCCTTGAGTTAAGTTTCCAGCTACTGTGTTTTGTCACTTTGTATTCAAGGAGTATTCAGGAAGTCTTCTCTTGTCTTACATGTAGATAGAGCCAGCCTCAATTATCCCTGTGGTTTAGTGCATCATGGAAGTCTCACAAATTAGAAAGAGGTGAAATATGGGGTGTGTATGTGTGTAATGTGTGCTTGTGAAGATATAAGCTAATGCTTATTTTAGTCTTTCATTTATGATTCAATTTACTAACCAACCTACTTACGAATTTATTGGTAGATATTTATTGTCTACAATGTATATGCCACTCTTTATCTCAGCAGAAGGATAAAATACAAAGGTTCATTAAAACCACATGGTTCTTGCAGTCTTAGAGTTGACCAATCAGGAGAAACAAGATGTGCCTGCACATTGAACAATAAATTTAGAGGGCAAAGAAGTATGTGATTATTCCAGGTGCCAAATTAACTGGCACAGGCCCAAGACTATAAAGAGTTCAGGGAACAGAGTGGGAAAGAAATGAGGGCTGGAAAGATGAGTGAAGGCACCACAGAGGAGGTGGGGCTTGATCTCTGCTCCCAGGATGAGAAGAAGTTGGATTAGATGGATGCTTTTGAGGTAGTGGGGTTTAAATAGATTGAATGCGACACATTTTCATATATTGAGTAGGCCAAAAGCTTTGTTGTTTTTTTCCATTAAGGTGCCTGGAGTAGCGCTTAGTTGTCTTTAACTTCATTCGAAACAATTTTGTTAGCTTGTATTGTGACAGCTATCATATCAGCGTGCATTTAAAAAAAAGAAACTTGTCAAAATTGGTGAATTTTTGTGTAGCCATTTTAATATTGAAGATGGAAGAAAAAAAGCAACATTTTTGGCATATTATGCTTTATTATTTCAAGAAAGGTAAAAACGCAACTGAAATGCAAAAAAAGATTTGTGTAGTGTATGGAGAAGGTGCTGTGACTGATCGAATGTGTCAAAAGGGGTTTGTGAAGTTTCGTGCTGGAGATTCCTCACTGGACAATGCTCCACGGTCAGGTAGACCAGCTGAAGTTGATAGTGATCAAATCGAGACATTAATTGAGAACAATCAACCTTATACCACGCAGGAGATAACCGACATACTCAAAATATCCAAATCAAGCATTGAAAATTATTTGCACCAGCTTGGTTATGTTAGTAGCTTTGATGTTTGGGTTCCACATAAGTTAAGTGAAAAAAACTTTCTTGACTGTATTTCCGCATGCGATTCTGTACTTAAACAAAATGAAAATGTTCCGTTTTTAAAACAAATTGTGATAGGTGATGAAAAGTGGATACTGTACAATGATATGGAACGGAAGAGAAATGAACCACCACCCACCCCACCAAAGGCCGGTCTTCATGCAAAGAAGGTGATGTTGTGTATATGGTGGGATTGGAAGGGAGTACTTTATTATGAGCTCCTTCCGGACAAACCAAACGGTTAATTCCAACAAGTGCTGCTCCGAATTAGACCAACTGTGAAAGCAGCACTCGACGAAAAGTGTCCAGAATTAGTCAACAGAAAATGCATAATCTTCCATTAGGATAACGCAGGCCCGCATGTTTCTTTGATGACCTGACAAAAACTGTTACAGCTTGGCTGGAAAGTTCTGATTCATCCACCGTATTCACCAGCTATTGCATCTTCGGATTTCCATGTATTTCAGTCTTTACGAAATTCTCTTAATGGAAAAAATGTCATTTCCCTGGAAGACTGTAAAAGGCACCTGGAACAGTTCTTTGCTCAAAAAGATAAAAAGTTTTGGGGGCTTCCCTGGTGGCGCAGTGATTGAGAGTCCGCCTACGTTTTTTCTGAAAGTTGGTTGCCTACTCTTTGAATCAAATAGTACAAAAGCATTATGTTCCTCTAAAGGGCACAAAACTTTTTTAGAACATATTTTAAATTTCTTCTTCAAAATACCTATAGAAATTTGCTCCTTTAAAAGTGGTAGCCTTTATGTTTGATTTCTAAGCCTTTTCTCCTTTCCTTTCCACTCTCTCACCATAAATACTTATGATGGTTCACTCTATGCCAGACACTCTGCGCTGAGCAAAAAAAAAAAAAAAAAAAAAAAAAAAAAAAAAAAAAAGTTTTGGGAAGATGGAATTATGAAGTTGCCTGAAAAATGGCAGAAGGTAGTGGAACAAAATGGTGAATACGTTGTTCAATAAAGTTCTTGTTGAAAATGAAAAAATGTGTCTTTTATTTTTACATAAAACGTGAGGGACCTTTTTGGCTAACCCAATATATTCTGATCATGAGGAATTTGTAGACTTTGCTGAAAGTTTATACATTAAAATTGTTATATTTTCCTACATTTGCTTTTGACACACAAAAGTTTCTGAGAGAAGCAAGTGTCGACTGAAAAATGTACAGCCTAAAAGTTGAGAGTTATGTTTTATTTGGTGGACAAAACTGAGGACTTAATCCCGGGACACAGCATCTCAGATAGCTCTGAGGGACTGCTCTGAAGAGGCAAGTGGGGAGCCAGCAAGTGGGGAGCAACAAAGACCAGGGAGTTGGAACATCAAATGATTACTGTTAATTAAAGAAAAGCAGACATCTCAAGTTAAGGAATTTAGCACTTTTCTATGGGAAGATGCAAGAGTCTGGGCTTACTGAAATCATTCCTTTGATATACACCTCAGCTGTCTGGGGCCAGTATCCTGCTTTTCTCATTCTGAGTCTTCTCAGGGTGCATCATCAGGGGTGACTGCAGTGTCTAATGGTTTGATGGCCCGCGTCCTGTTTCCTTCCTGAGTTCCCTTAGGACTCAAGGTGGGGGTGGCTGTAATGTGATGGCTTCAAGGCTGCAACATCCTTTGTTTACTGATATGGCAGGGGGCATTTTTAGTTCACATGAGCAGTGTTAAAGACTGGATGAAAAACTCTGTATTTCAACACAGGCTTCGTAATAATATTTGCAGGAGTTGTTATGTCAGTAGGTACACAAGTAAATTTCATGTTGAATTGGCAAGTGAAAAACACCATTAATATGGTGCATTTTTTCCTAGGCCGGACCTGATAGACATGAATACTGTTGCTGTTCAAAGCAACCTTGCAAATTTAGAGCACGCTTTCTATGTAGCAGAAAAAATCGGTGTTATAAGACTTCTGGATCCTGAAGGTGAGTGATTATTTTGACCGGATGTCCACGGGCTGGGAAGTCTGATCCAAAGTATTTGGTCAGCATTTTGAAATAATTCATGTTGCTGCTTTTAGATGTTGATGTCTCCTCACCTGATGAAAAATCAGTAATAACTTATGTATCATCTCTCTATGACGCATTTCCCAAAGTCCCTGAAGGTGGTGAAGGCATTGGTGCAAACGTGAGTATTGATTTTTCCATTCTGAAGCTGCTGACTCAGAATTGACTGAATTCTCTGACAGTGCTTTTTACAGTTTTTTTAATATGACTTTTTAAAATTGAAATATAGCCGATTTACAATGTTGTGTTAATTTCTGCTGTACAACAAAGTGATTCAGTTATACACACACACACACACACACACACACACACATTCTTTTCTTTAATATTATTTTCCATTATGGTTTATCTTAGGATATTGAATATAGTTCTGCTAACTTCAACCTCCCACTCCACGCCTTCCCTAACCCCCTCTCCCTTGGCAACCACAAGTCTGCTCTCTATGTCTGTGATTCTGTTTCTGTTTCATAGATAAGTTCATTTGTGTCATATTTTAGATAGCACATATAAGTGATATCGTATGGTATTTGTCTTTCTCTTTCTGACTTACTTCACTTAGTATGACAGTCTCTAGGTCCATCCACATTGCTGCAAATGGCATTATTTCATTCTTTCTTACAGCTGAGTGATATTCCATTGTATGTATACGTGTCACATCTTCTTTATCCATTCATCTGTCAATGGACATTTAGGTTGTTTCCATGTCTTGGCTCTTGTAAATAGTGCTGCTGTGAACATTGAGGTGCATGTATCTTCTTGAATTAGAGTTTTGTCTGGATATACACCCAGGCATGGGATTCCTGGGGTTTTTTTTTTTTTTTTTTTTAATATAGTTTCCTTTGCTGTGCAAAAGCTTTTAAGTTTCATTAGGTCCCATTTGTTTGTTTGTTTTTTGTTTGTTTTCATTTCCATTACTCTAGAAAATGGGTCAAAAAAGATCTTGCTGTGATTTATGTCAAAGAGTGTTCTTCCTATGTTTTCCTCTGAGAGTTTTATAGTGTTCGGTCTTACATTTAGGTCTTTAATCCACTTTAAGTTTATTTTTGTGTATGGTATTAGGGAGTGTTCTAATTTCAGTCTTTTACATGTAGCTGTCCAGTTTTCCCAGCACCACTTATTAAAGAGACTGCCTTTTCTCCATTGTATATCCTTGCCTCCTTTGTCATAGATTAGGTGACCATAGGTGTGTGGGTTTATCTCTGGGTTTTCTATCCTGTTCCATTGATCTATATTTCTGTTTGTGAGCCAATACCATATTGTCTTGATTACTGTAGCTTTGTAGTATAGTCTGAAGTCAGGGAGCCTGATTCCTCCGGCTCCGTTTTTTTCCCTCAAGATTGCTTTGGCTATTCAGGGTCTTTTGTGTCTCCATACAAATTTTAAGACTTTTTTGTTCTAGTTCTGTAAAAAATGCCATTGGTAATTTGATAGGAATTGCACTGAATCTGTAGATTGCTTTGGGTAGTATGGTCATTTTCACAATATTGATTCTTCCAATCCAAGAACATGATATATGTCTCCAACTATTTGTGTCATCTTTGATTTCTTTCACCAGTGTCTTATAGTTTTCTGAGTACAGGTCTTTTACCTCCTTAGGTAGGTTTATTCCTAGGTATTTTATTCTTTTTGTTGCAGTGGTGAATGGGATTGTTTCCTTAATTTCTCTTTCTGATCTTTCATTGTTAGTGTATAGGAATGCAAGAGATTTCTGTGCATTAATTTTGTATCCTGCCACTTCACCAAATGCATTGATTAGCTCTAGTAGTTTTCTCGTGGCATCTTTAGGATTATCTCGGTATAGTGTCATGTCATCTGCAAACAGTGACAGTTTTACTTCTTTTTTCCAATTTGGATTCCTTTTATTTTTCTTCTCTGATTGTGTGGCTAGAACTTCCAAAACTATGTTGAATAATAGTGATGAGAGTGGACATCCTTGTCTTGTTTCTGATCTTACAGGAAATGCTTTCAGTTTTTCACCATTGAGAATGATATTTGCTGTGGGTTTGTCATATATGGCCTTTATTATGTTGAGGTAGGTTCCCTCTGTGCCCACTTTCTGGAGAGTCTTTATCATAAATAGGTGTTGAATTTTGTCAAAAGCTTTGTCTGCATCTACTGAGATGATCATACGGTGTTTATTCTTCAATTTGTTAATATGGTGTATCACATTGATTGATTTGCATATATTGAAGAACCCTTGCATCCCTGGGATAAATCCCACTTGATCATGGTGTATGATCCTTTTAATGTGTTGTTGGATTCTGTTGGCTAGTATTTTGTTGAGGATTTTTGCATCTATATTCATCAGTGATATTGGTCTGTAATTTTATTTTTTTGTAGTATCTTTGTCTGCTTTTGGTATCAGGGGGACAGTGGCCTCATAGAATGAGTTTGGCAGTGTTCCTTCCTCTGCAATTTTTTGGGAGAGTTTGAGAAGGATGGGTGTTACCTCTTCTCTAAATGTTTGATAGAATTCACCTGTGAAGCCATCTGGTCCTGGACTTTTTGTTTGTTGGAAGATTTTTAATCACAGTTTCAATTTCATTACTTGTGATTGGTCTGTTCATATTTTCTGTTTCTTCTTGGTTCAGTCTTGGAAGGTTATACCTTTCTAAGAATTTGTCCATTTCTTTCAGGTTGTCCATTTTATTGGCATAGAGTTGCTTGTAGTAGTCTCTTATGATGCTTTGTATTTCTGCGGTGTCAGTTGTAACTTCTCCTTTTTCATTTCTAATTTTATTGATTTGAGCCCTCTCCATCTTGAGTCTGGCTAAAGGTTTATCAGTTTTATCTTCTCAGAGAACCAGCTTTTTGTTTCATTGATCTTTGCTATTGTTTTGTTTGTTTGTTTGTTTCTATTTCCTTTATTTCTGCTCTGATCTTTATGATTTCTTTCCTTCTACTAACTTTAGCTTTTGTTTGTTCTTCTTTCTCTAGTTCCTTTAGGTATAAGGTTAGATTGTTTGAGATTTTTCTTGTTTCTTGAGGTAGGATTGTATTGCTATAAACTTCCCTCTTAGAACTGCTTTTGCTGCATCCTATAGGTTTTGGATCGTCATGTTTTCGTTGTCATTTGTCTCTAGGTATTCTTTGATTTCTTCAGTGATCTCTTGGTTATTTAGTAACGTATTGTTTAGCCTCCATGTGTTTCTGTTTTTTGTGTTATTTTCCCTGTAATTTATTTCTCATCTCATAGCGTTGTGGTTGGAAAAGATGCTTGATATGATTTCAGTTTTTTTAAATTTACCGAGGCTTGATTTGTGACCCAAGATGTGATCTGTCCTGGACAGTGTTCTGTGTGCGCTTGAGAAGAAGGTGTAATCTGCTGTTTTTGGATGGAATGCCTTATAAATATCAATTAAATCTATCTGGTGTATTGTGTCATTTAAAGCTTGTGTTTCCTTATTAATTTTCTGTCTGGATGATCTGTCCATTGGTGTAAGTGATGTGTTAAAGTCCCCCACTACTGTGTTACTGTTGATTTCCTCTTTTATAGCTGTTAGCATTTGCCTTATGTATTGAGATGCTCCTATGTTGGGAGTGCATATATATTTATAATTGTTATATTTTCTTCTTGGATTGATCCCTTAATCATTATGTAGTGTCCTTCCTTATCTCTTTTAACATTCTTTAAAGTTTATTTTTTCTGATATGAGTATTACTACTCCAGCTGTCTTTTGATTTCCATTTTCATGGAATATCTTTTTCCATCCCCTCACTTTCAGTCTGTATGTGTCCCTAGGTCTGAAGTGAGTCTCTTGTAGACAGCATATATTTGGATCTTGTTTTGGTATCCATTCAGCGAGCCTGTGTCTTTTGGTTGAAGCATTTAATCCATTTACATTTAAGGTAATTATCGATATGTATGTTCCTATTACCATTTTCTTAATTGTTTTGGGTTTGTTTTTGTAGGTCCTTTTCTCCTCTTATGTTTCCCACTTAGAGAAGTTCCTTTCGCATTTGTTGTAGAGCTGGTTTGGTGGTGCTGAATTCTCTTAACTTTTGCTTGTCTATAAAGCTTTTGATTTCTCCATCGAATCTGAGTGAGATCCTTGCTGGGTAGAGTAATCATGGTTGTAGGTTCTTCCCTTTCATCACTTTAAATATATCGTGCCACTCCCTTTTGGCTTGTAGAGTTTCTGCTGAGAAATCAGCTGTAACCTTATGGGAGTTCCCTTGTATGTTGTCATTTTTCCCTTGTTGCTTTTAGTAATTTTTCTTTGTCTTTAATTTTTGTCAGTTTGATTACTGCGTATCTCGGCATGTTTCTCCTTGGGTTTAACCTGCCTGGGACTCTCTGTGCTTCCTGGACTTGGATGGCCATTTCGTTTCCCATGTTAGGGACGTTTTCAACTATAATCTCTTCAGATATTTTCTCTGTTCCTTTCTCTCTCTCTTCTCCTTCTGGGACCTCTATAATGCTAACGTTGGTGTGTTTCATGCTGTCCCAAAGGTCCCTTAGGCTGTCTTCATTTCTTTTCATTCTCTTTTCTTTATTCTGTTTCATGGCAGTGAATTCCACCGTTCTGTCTTCCAGGTCACTTATCCATTCTTCTGCCTCAGTTATTTGCTATTGATTCCTTCTAGTGTATTTTTCCTTTCAGTTATTGTATTGTTCATCTCTGTTTGTTTGTTTTTTAATTCTTCTAGGTGTTTGTTCTTTAATTCTTCTAGGTCTTTGTTAAATATTTCTTGCGTCTTCTCGATCCGTGCCTCCATTCTTTTTCCAAGGTCCTGTATCATCTTCACTGTCATTATTCAGAATTCTTTTTCTGGAAGGTTGCCTGTCTCCACTTCATTTAGTTGTTTTTCTAGGGTTTTATCTTGTTCCTTCATCTGGTACATAGTCCTCTGCCTTTTCATTTTGTCTGTCTTTCTGTGAACGTGGTTTTTGTTCCACTGGCAGCAGGATTGTAGTTCTTCTTGCTTCTGCTGTCTGCCCTCTGGTAGATGAGGCTCGATTGCTGGATCTTATGGTAATTCTATTTTTTTGTTTTCTGAGGAACCCCCATACTGTTCTCCATAGTGGCTGCACCAATTTACATTCCCACCAACAGTGTAGGAGGCTTCCCTTTTCTCCATACCCTCTCCAGCATTTGTTATTTGTAGACTTTTTAATGATGGCCATTCTGACCAGCGTGAAGTGGTACCTCGTTGTAGGTTTGATTTGCATTTCTGTAATAATTAGCGTGGTTGAGCATATTTTCATGTGCCTGTTGGCCATTTGTATTTCTTCTTTGGAGAAATGTCTATTTAGGTCTTCTGCCCTTTTTTCGATTGGATTATTTTTTTTGCTGTCAAGTTGTATGAGTTTGCAGTTTTTAATTATCAAATATTTTTTAAAGGATTTGAGTTAATAGGTCACTTAATTTAGAGATTTCCTTTTTAAACTTACTGCTGTTTTACAGCTGCCCTACTTGGTATCCTTCTCTGCAGAGAAGGTATGCAGAGAATATCTCACTTTTGAAATCACTTTCAAGTTTTTTAACTTACGTGATCCCAGGAGATAAGGTAGCTCTGAGTTGGTTTCTCATTTAAAGGTGAGGCCCGGAGGAGGGTGATGTGATTTTGCCAAGTTAACGGAGCTTCTTCGTAGCAGGGCACGGTCTCTGACAAGTAGCTTTGGGCTCTTTATTTAGCCCACTGCTTTCCAAAATCTGTGCAGTTCATTTCAGCGGTGCATTTGTGCTGGTCCTGCTGACAAGTGCTGTGCGTTTCTAGAAGACAGGACACCCTGTACATGATGTGCATTTGGGGGGACCCTGACTTCTCCACCCTGACTTCTACTACTCACCTTGACTTCTCCACAACTCCTGCAGATTTCTCCTTTATTCTGTCTCACTTTGAAGGTTTGGGAGCTCCCCTTTCGTGTCTCTTATTTCGCCTCTGTGTGCTATTGCTTGAGACTTGTTTCCGTTCTCTCCTCATGTTCTTTCTCACAAAGGCTGGTCCCCAAGTGACTTGGTCCCATGCTTCCCCTCTGCTCCAGTGTCTGCCAGTGACTCAGGGTTGAGTGTTGCTCCAGAATGTTAACTGTGGCCGTTCCTTGCTTGGTCTTCTCACTGCCTGTACCCAGTTCCTCACTCTTAATCCCTTCACTAGAATGAGGATGAGAGCTTTCTTTTGGCTTTACTTTCACCATTGTTTTTCTCCTCCCATGAACTCTGCACATTGTCGCCACATTAGCTAGAAAAACTTCCATGGCTCCATGTGGCTTGCAAGGTTCAACCCAGTCTAGATGTTCTGACATCCACAGTTCTGCCTCTTATCAGTTCTGCTTACCCACATCATTCCCCACATGAACTGTTTGTGGTGTCCAGGGCATTTCTGTTTCAGAGTCCTGACTCCCTTGGCCCCCATCCCCCATCTTTTCTCTGTTCCTCCTGCCAGCCACCAACAATTACTGGTCATTGTACAACTGCTCAGGGATTCCCTCTCCCAGGAAACCTTCAGTGATCATTTTGAGGCACATTTATGCTCACCTGATTCTTACCTCAGCGCCTCACATGTACTACCCGTTTCCGTTATTTCAGCACCTCTTAAATGCTGCTTTTCGTTTTGCGTAACTGTTTATATTATGACTCTCTGAGTCCTCATCTAGACAGAAACTCTTTGATAAAAGAGATCATGTCTTGAAGTATTATATTTTTATTATAATGCTTAGCACAGTGCTTTGAACATCATAAGCAGTCATCAAATACTTAATTGAATATAGCAGTTTACAATTTTCCAGTTTCCTCCATTTTAAAACAGTTTGCCTAACAGTACTTGAATCATCCTACATGTACATTTCCTCTAGTTTTCACTCCTGTCTGGTTTCCTATGTATCGTGCAGCTCTTTGAGTTTCAGATACAAGGTGGACTTAGAAAGGTTGGCAGAGCGGGCAACTAACCTGGCTTATGCAGGCTAAGCCTTTTGAGTGCCTTTCTTGAGTGCCTGGAAAACACCCCAAATTGATCAGTGTTCTTTTTTTTCTGTTACATTTCAATGCAGCCTCTGAAGCCTTTGTAACACAGTGCTTCAGGCAGCCTGGATCCCTGGGTCAGAGCTGGCACTCCTTAGGCTAGTCTTAGCGGTCAGATGTTGATCGTGTGTTTTTAAGGCTGTTTAAGTGGAAAGGATTGGGACTCGGTGGAAAGGAAGAAAACATGGAGCTGGTCCTCTCCGTCAGGCTTAAAGCCCTGCAAATCCACAGAATGACCTCTGGCCAGATTGTGTTAGACGTGAATGTTACAATCTGCAGACCTTCTCTGCCATCTTCTCGTTGTAGGATGTTGAAGTCAAATGGATTGAATACCAGAATATGGTCAACTACCTCGTCCAGTGGATCAGACATCATGTGACCACTATGTCCGAGAGAACATTTCCTAATAATCCTGTAGAACTCAAGGTCTGTGTCCCTATAGAAGTTAAGTAGGATTGAGTTTATTATTAAACTTTTAAATAATGCTGAAATGGTTCTATCATTTCAGAAATTGAAGAAAAATTGCCCTTGGCAAGGTACTAATCATCAGGCAAATTATTTATTTATTCGTCTCCTATTGTAGAGAAAATGGAAGTCAACATTAATAATTAAAAGATAATAGTGACAACATCTTAAAGAAATTTATAGTCCCTTTGGTTTGAATTGTTGAGAGTTTTAAGGTTTAATTTGGGAAGGTTTCTGGAAGTGACGTTGCCAGATTCTTTTTGGTGCCTGGGAGATGCCTGGAGCCAGCAGATGGCTGGGGCACAAGGGGGGCGGGAGCTTGTGCAATGTGACCGTGGCAGGGCCTGTGCCGTGGTCACATCCTGTTAAAAAACGGCCTCAGAGGCTCCTGTGGTACGGCAAGAGGTACATACCGTCTTTCACCACGAATTCGAAAATACATATCTGACTCCCAGAGTAAATGAGTTCCTGGTTTAGTAGAACATTTACTACTACCTAAGAACCTGGGTCCATCTCTTTGAGCAGAGACATTATAGAAATATTAAAAGATAGTACAGATATAGAAATGTATTGAAAATAAGTTGTCTCATTTTGTACATTGGGATTTGTCATAGCAAAGTAGTGTACTTTATTTCAAGAAATGGGTAATGCGAATATGAACAGCAAAGTCTAATTCCTTGAATTGCAGACTTTGTTTTCTGGATCAGACTAGCATTGCAAAAAAACGGTCCTAACCCAGGGTGGGCCCTGTTAACGTTAGTAATTGTGTCCATGCGTCTATACGGAACATCTGTGGAATAGCTTTTATTCACGTTGCCACGGGGAACTTGTCCTTGGCACAAAGTTCCTTGGCGTGTGTCGATGTGATGCTGTTTAAGTTCTCTCTGAAGCTGTTTGTGTGATGTCTCCCTCTGTGGCTGGAACCTCTCCTGGCAGGAAAGCTTTCCTCCCCCTTCTATCAGCATGTCTACTGTGAACAGTGGGTAGCCCATGATGGCATTCCGTGCTTATTCACCTATGGACATCCTGAAACGGTGCATTTTGAGTTTAAACCAATTTTCAGATTTCAAGTTCCATTTATTTCCAGATGGATTCCTTTTGTCCAGACATTTGAGTAAATTCTTGCTGGCTTCTAATTAATACAGATTCTTAAATTATTAAAGAAGTTCGAGTGACTACACAGATTACTGACTGGTGCCTGGGATAGGACGTGATACAGGGAAATACCAAATAATTTTATTAGCCAGCAAAACATCAAATGGAATCCTTCAAAGAAATGTGTCTGCCTGAATGTTTGCAGGGACTTGTTTTAAAGCAGCATGAATTAGGATGAAATAATTAGCATACACTTATTAAATGTGGAGATGCTTTATCAACATAATTTTTATAAGGTCCTTGTTAATAAATATAATAAACATATTTAAGAGATTCCCAAGTTAATATCTATAAGTTAGATAGTAATTTAATTATATGGTTCAAACTTTTATAATAATAGCAGCAACCAATAGCATCTGTCTTTGTTTACTTATAAGATCTGCTTAATTTGGCCAATGGGACATTGAAACGAAATTTTAGTCCAGTCTATCTGATGAGAATTCTGTTTTCAAGGATAGACCATGAAATAGAGGAGAATGCTCCCCACCCCTTTTTATGGGAGTTACATCAGATGATTTTTCCAAAAACTAAAAGCTAAAGTACGGCATTTGGGAAGTGGATCTTTTAAAGTATGTATCTTCTTGTTTGGATAATGAGAGATTATCAGTAGAGCCATAGTAGATACTGCTGTGGTTTTCACTATCCAGATGGCTGGGTAGCCTATGTTGAATCAGGGCTCATAGCCAGAATTACACCCTCCTCAGCTCCCATACAGCCTGGTTACCGACTGGCTGGGAATCAGCAGCGTCCTTGAGTGTCTGTTTTATAAAGAAATGCCACCGAGGGCACGCGACAGAGTAAATAGCATTTGAAGTGGTGACATTATGTGATAATGAAAACAGGTCTTTGAAGTTTGGCCCTTCATTTATTTTCCCTTTCTTTTTAGGCACTTTATAATCAGTATTTACAGTTTAAAGAAGCAGAAATTCCACCAAAGGAGACAGAAAAATCAAAAATTAAACGCCTGTATAAATTATTAGAGGTAAGCAGAAATTCCCTTTGTATTGTCAAATGTAATATTTTAAAAAAATTTTATTGAAGTATACTTGATTTATAATGTGTTAATTTCTGTTGTACAGCAAAATGATTCAGTTATACATATATATATATTCTTTTTCATATTCTTTTCCATTATGGTTTATCACAGCATAATGAATATAGTTCCCTGTGCTATTATACAGTAGGACCTTGTTGTTTATCCGTCCTATATATAATAGTTTGTGTCTGCTAACCCCAAACTCCCAATCCATCCCTCTCTCACCCCTCTTCCCCCTTGGCAACCACAAGTCTGTTCTCTATGTCTGTGAGTCTGTTTCTATTCCATAAAGTTCATTTGTGTCATATTTTAGATTCCACATATATGTGGTATCATAAGGTATCCAATGTTATCTTTAATAAGATACCTTGATGTAAGAAACATAATTTTTTACGTCTTTGCTTCACATTAACTTTTTTGTTGTTGTTTTCTCTAGATTTGGATAGAATTTGGACGCATCAAACTCCTTCAAGGTTATCATCCCAATGACATAGAAAAGGAGTGGGGAAAGCTCATCATTGCCATGCTCGAGAGGGAGAAGGCTCTTCGTCCCGAAGTGGAAAGGTGAGTGGGGATGGCCTCTGCCCTGGGTGTCCAGTGGGAGGGTTCAGCCTGTGTCGTGGAAAGAACTTAAGCTCTGGAGACCAACATTTACCTTTTTCATTCACTTGGCTGTGTGACCTTGAATAAGTCACTTAGCCTTTCTGATTCTCCATTTTCTTATCTAGAAACTCTTCCAAGAGGTTTGTGGAGGGATCAGTAAAGTAGTGTTTCAAGAGGGCCTAGGTTGGTGTGTGAAATCTCTTCTTATACGATGGTTACAGTTTTAAAGCCAATCAGGATGACCCGTGAGAATTTCTCCAACTGACTTTAAAGTCGCCAGGGCCTGGATCCAGAAGTTCATCCATATATAACACAGACTAACCATGAACTTATCTTGTTTCTTGTTGTATTTTTGGCTACGACCCTCTTTCTACGGGGCAGTGAACCCTCTATTTGAAGGGCAGTGAGGCCGCTTCTAGAGAACACTTACTAAATGCTGGCTCAAGTTCCCTCTCTGCTTTTTTACCCTGAAAACATCACTGACCTTCATCCTTTCTCTCCCGCTACACCCAGCTGCCGGGGAAGGTCCTGCTTGGTCTTCAGGACACATTTGTTGGATGGATGTGTCTCTGGGGTAGTCCTTACATCCCAGCCTGACTTGTAGTGTGTGGGGCTTGTGTGGCCTGAGTCCACGGGGCTGGCCTTACAGCCTGGGGACCGGTGGCCAGGCCAGGCATCGCCCTCAAGCCCGACTGGCCCCACGCCTCCTCGCTTCTGCAGTGCAGTCACGCCGTCTGCCTCTCAGGAGCTCTGACTTGCCAAGGTCCCAGCCTCCCCCATTTATGAGATCTCTGCACTGTCTGATGCTTTGGCTGGGAAGTCTGTTTCATCCCCTCTTTACTCCTCGTCTTTCTCAGATCTCGGCTTCAACGTAATTTCCTCCAGAAACTTTCCACAGTCTCCCACGTTGGTTCAGACATCTTGGTGATAACCCTCCTGTTTATATGGATTGCTCCTTCATAGCCGTCATCTCCGTTGTAATTTTGTATTTGTGTCTGTCATTGGTTAAGGGCTGCCCATTCTACAGTTGTGAGCTCTAGTAACGTGGAGACAGATTCCTGTTTTTGTAGCTCCTCATGTCGCCAACACTTAACACCCTGCCTGCTATCAGTATCCTGGTGCTCTCTGCGCCTCCTCATAACTTCCACATGGAAGAAATATGAACTAATGTGTTGAAGATACAGGGGCAGGTCTAACTTGTCAGGCCTTTATTAAATCACTGATGACACTCTTATTAAAGCAGCATATTCTGTCTACATAACTAGATCATTAGAACCAGAACAAGCTCGAAATACCCAGGATGGACCTTTTATGGAGGAGATAATTCTGGGTGGTTCAGATGGGACGCTCAGCTTCTCATCAGAAAGAGTGAAAAAGGATGCCACAGAAAGAGTACGCAGTAGATTTTAGTCGACAGAATAGCAGCTGGATTTTAATATATGTTAATGAAAGAATGCTATGGTTAAGAGTTCGAGGTCTAGGAGCCAGTCAATCCTGGATGAATTATTAGCTCAGTGTACAAGCCATGTAATCTTAGATTCAGTATCCTCTCTAAGCTTCAGTTTCTTCCTTTGTAAACAGGATGTAATAGTACCTACTGCATTTGCTGGTTCTGAGTATGTCTGTAAAATGATTAGTTAATTTCCTGGCATGTGACAATTGCTTCAGAAATGTTAGGTGCTGGCTGCTATTACTATTCATGCTTTTCTTTTTACTAACTATATTTGACATGGCACTCTCAAATTTCCTTTTCTTGCCTTGTGAAAAGAACAGTATCTACCTCTAGGTGGAGAAGCAACAGTTTGGCCTTGCAGTGTTAGGGATAGGAAAATATTTAGGAGCTTGGCTGATTCAATGCCTTCATTTTTCTTGATGCAACAAGTTTTTTTTTTGGCATTAACTCTGTATTGCAAAATAATAGCTGTGCAGCGTCGGAGTGTGTAAAAAACAGATGTGAAAGAGCCAATGATCTTAGGCCAGGTAATAACCTATAGAAAGGAAAAATAAGCACAGACAAATTAAATTTGCAAGCATTGCACTGATACTCTTCTTAGCACTTTGGCTTTTAAAAATGTAAAGTAACTTCAGTAGATTAGACCTAACATTCCTGGGAGCTCATCCTATAAAGAAAGGTAAACGGACAATTTTCTGTTAATTTAACCTAATCAACAAACACCATGGTGGTTAAAAAGGAAAAGTACTTTGCTTCTCCTCAAACTCATTTGTTTATAGGTGCTTGTAAGTATCAGTTTTTAACCCTGTGTTGTTCATTACAGACCTGGCCTTTTCCAAAAAGCTGTGATCAGGGTCTGCTTGACTCTTTGTGTTCTTTTAGCTGATGATTTGCCGGAATAAACTTTTCTAATTGTACCTGGGCTCCTGGGAGGCATCAGAGTTGTTTTTGAAGCAGTTGCAAATGGATGACTCTTGGTGAAAATATTTGGCAAGTCTTCTCCAGTGACGCCCCAGTCAGCCTGCCTTGTCCAAACTTGTAGGGCTTTAGTGCAGGCTACAAAAGGCAGACCTCAGCTAGTAAACCCATGGCTCTAGGTGAGATTCTTCTGAACAGCTATCAGTGTATTATTTGCTGTGTGTTGAATATGCACGTTGGAGCATATTTAAGGAGCCATTGAAAGCTGTACCATTCAGCCGCCACTCTTCACCGTTAGAAGTAGCGCTTTTTGTAGACCTTCTACTTTTGAGTCTACTTTTAATGGTGGAGGAAAGAACATCATTGCAAGGATAAGAATGCACAGCAGTAGTTACAGTTACCGTAGCAGTGACTCTGTGTTTAGTAACACGACTAGCACACGAACCAGTCTTGATTCAAATGAAAATTTCCTCTCAGTTCATTGTGGTCCAACGCTGATCAATTCCTGCATTAGCTTTGGCAATGAATCCTTTGATGGACACAGGTATGGAGTCATTGGTGTGGGATTGTGTTTTCTCTTTTGGTGGGCTGCATTTTTCAGGGATGGCCAACTCTATGACTTTAGAGGGAGAGGCTTTATTTTATCTCGTTCCTTCTTTTAGACTGGACATGTTGCAGCAGATTGCCAGCCGAGTTCAGAGGGGCAGTGTCATTTGTGAAGACAAACTGATGCTTGCTCGAAACGCTCTCCAGTCTGTAAGTTCATTTCAGGAGCTGTTGGGATTGCAGTAGATGGGTCAGTGTGTTCGGATGAACTAAAACTTTGCATAACGTTGGGTAGATTGGTCTACTGAAACAAAGTTTGTTAAAGAGTATGATTACTTTGCTTTCTTGAGGGAAAACATGTTTTTGAAGCAAAAGGGAAAACAGAGAAAATCCAAGTAGCTTCTGTTCTAATACTTCGAGTTTTATATTTGAGGCTAGTTTTGAAACTTGTTTAATTAATTAATTAATGTAGAATTAATATTGAGTTCTTTTAAAAATACAGGATTCTAAAAGATTAGAATCCGGGGTGCAGTTTCAGAATGAAGCAGAAATTGCCGGGTATGTCCTTGAATGTGAGAACCTGTTACGCCAGCATGTAATTGATGTACAGATTCTTATTGATGGAAAATACTACCAGGCAGACCAGTTGGTACAGAGGTAAGAGTGCTTGTTGGTCAGCTCTCCTTCTGGGTGACTGTTTCATGGCACCTGCATTAAGAATGTAGAGTGTGACAATTTTATGAAATATTTCTTAAGCTCTTTTTTGTTGAAAATGTGTGTCATGTTAATTCTGTCATATTTGGGTGTGTTTAGTAGGTTTTGTTCTTCAAAGATAAGTAATAGAAAAAAATTTTATGATACATGTAATATTTAATGCTGTAGTAACTAACATACAGTTGAAATATTCATGTGTGATATTTGAAAAAGGGACAGTATGAGAAAATTATCTTTTAAGTCAGCATTTCAGTTTTCTGTTTATCTTATCATGAAAATGTTCCTAATAAAGTATTGGAAGAAATATATGTTGCATAAACATCTGTATCTCTGAGAAGTAGGTTTGGGAGTAGGAATGGAACCTTTCAGGTTGAATACTATATATATTATATATGTAAATATCTAAATACATGAGATATATAAAGCAAAAATTATAAATGATGCTTTGACCCAGTAAGTCCACTTTTAGGAATCTATAGTAATTCTAAATATAGAAAATATCTTAATAAATATAGGAAAAAAAGCCTTTGTTCATGTCAGAAATATTTTATAGTAACAAAAATTTGGAATCCTACATGTCAAATAGTAGGAGAATGATCATATTATAGTATAGTAATTGTGTTCATTATAAATTGTAGTTATAAAAATCGTGATAATATGCAGAGTACTTATAGTACAACATTCAGTGAAAAAAATTGTGATGCAAACTTTTAGCAATATGATTACAATGACATTTTAAAATAGACTTTATTTATTTGAGCAGTTTAGGTTTATAGAAAAATTGAGTGGAAAGTCCAGAGTTCCCATATCCCCTCTCAAAGCCCATTCTCCTGTCAGTAACGTCTTGCACTAGTGTGATGCATTTGTTACAGCTGATGAGCCAATAGTGATACGTTATTGTTAATTAAAGTCCCTAGTTTACATTAGAGTTCACTCTGAGAAAAATGCCTCTTATATTATAGCTTATCCCTTTTGATTTTCTTTTCAGGGTTGCAAAACTGCGTGATGACATCCTGGCCTTAAGGAATGAATGTTCCTCAGTGTACAGCAAAGGCCGCGTGCTGACAGCGGAGCAGACGAAGCTCATGATATCAGGAATCAGTCAGAGTTTAAACTCAGGGTTTACACAGACCTTAAATGCCAGTCTGAACTCAGGGCTGACCCAGGGTCTAACGCCTTCCCTGACCCCGTCCAGCGTGACCTCAGGCCTGTCATCAGGGCTGACTTCCCGCCTGACGCCATCTGTCACTCCTGCATATACACCTGGCTTCCCATCAGGATTAGTTCCAAATTTCAGCTCAGGAGTGGAGACAAATTCCCTGCAAACTCTGAAGCTGATGCAGATCCGAAAGCCCCTTCTCAAGTCGTCTCTACTGGATCAGAATTTAACAGAAGAGGAAATCAACATGAAATTTGTTCAGGATCTTTTGAATTGGGTTGATGAGATGCAGGTAAGAATATTTACTTTACCTGAATTTCAGGCTTTATTGCTACCAGTTTCTTTTTCAAACCTTATATCTTTCTATTTAAAGGTGCAGCTGGACCGCACTGAATGGGGATCAGATTTGCCAAGTGTTGAAAGCCATTTAGAAAATCATAAAAATGTTCACCAAGCTATTGAAGAATTTGAATCTAGCCTCAAAGAAGCTAAGATCAGTGAGGTATGTGAATTTGAAATCTGTATGTATTTCATCCCAGCTTCTGTTCTGCTCTTTCTATAAAGACCCTGTTGCAACCGGGTAAATGATACATTGCTTGTGAATCAGAATTCCTTAAGATTCCTAACCTTGCCGTCTTTTTATCCCATGTTATAGATCCAGATGACGGCACCTCTTAAACTAACTTATGCAGAAAAGTTGCACAGATTAGAAAATCAGTATGCAAAACTCTTGGTAAGTTTTTTTAACTTTCTGTTCCCCTTACCTCTATGTGGCAAAGACACGATTCTTAACAATGATTCTCCTTGTAAAGAACACATCCAGGAATCAGGAACGGCACCTTGATACACTCCACAATTTTGTAACTCGTGCAACTAATGAGCTTATTTGGTTGAATGAAAAAGAAGAGGGGGAAGTTGCTTATGACTGGAGTGAAAGAAACACCAACATAGCCCGGAAAAAAGATTACCACGCTGTGAGTATGACTTCTGTAACTGGATGTTAAAAATGCATTTCAGGTTTTATCATTTTCTGACATATTTCTTGCTTATTTCTTTAAATTAGGAATTAATGAGAGAACTTGATCAAAAGGAAGAAAATATTAAATCAGTTCAGGAGATAGCAGAGCAGCTGCTTCTGGAAAATCACCCAGCCCGATTAACCATTGAGGTAAGTCAGAAAGTGTAATAGTCACAGTGGAATACAGACATTTGATTATTACCCTTCAGATTCTTCTATTGTTGATAAATTGAAAAATGCAAGCTATCAAACTTCTATTATAACCTGAATCAAAAAGAATGTTTCTGACAGATCATACTGATTTGCCTTCAGTTCTGCTGAAGTGTGTCACCCACTCATCACTTCCAATAAAGGTACTTTGTCAACCCCTGTGGCCAAAGAGGTGTAGTACAGTAACTGTGAAGGTCCTTGACTTGATAGGCTTTGAGGTTGATATTTCTTCCTAACCATATGACACTGCCCCAGGGATGTAACCTTACTCAGTCCCATTCACTTACCTAAAATGGGGGAAATTGCTTCTAACCCATAGAGTTGTGTGAGAAGAAGAATGTACTCTTACTATTTAGTTAAGTTCTTGGTACACAGTAGGTTCTCAAGAAGTACTAGTTACTATTATTTAATTTACTAATTGTATTCATGGTCTGGTTTTGTGAGGTGTGTCCTCAGGGTGTAACGCACACATTTCAGACCCAGAAGGGGAGGGTTGACTAGGGTTTATCAGGCTGCCCGTGGGGTGGTGGTGGGGTAGGATGTGTTTACTATTGGGGCCTGATATCTACTGGTTAGAGTTAGTGACTGTGTGAATGTGCAGGGGGTGATGTAAGAGGGCGAGAAGCATGTAACGTGGACAGATGTGGTGTATTTCCAGAGGAAGAAAAATGAAGCTGTGCTTACAATGGGACACGCAGTTGAAGGAAGGAATCTGAGAGTCTTTGTTCACTGAAATAAGTCTTCGTGACGCAAAAGATTCATAAAATTCTAGGCCTCACTTGGTGGTCTTGGAAATATTATAGGTGACCTTCTTTCATATAAAAACGTGGTTTTCATCCCCAGGAAATGCTGCGTAGGAATGTTAAAGACACAGAAGGTAGGGTGGCACTAGGGAGAGGAAATTAGAATCATGAAGGGTCTGGATATACTTTTCTATGATGATCAACTAAAAGTGGGATAGATATTCTTTGGAGTAGAGAGATGAAAGCTGTTAGGAAATACGATTGTAGGTTGAGAATTTTGATGGGAATGGAAAATGTGGATGTGAACCTGATTACTTTTAGGTAGAGCTGTTAGTCTAATTAACTGAAAGTCTCTGGAACAATAAAATTAAGCCGTAGTTGTCCTTATGATTCCATGGGCCCATCCAATGTCTTGTGGGCAATGGATAATAGTTAATTATTAACTCTTTTATATTTTATGTGAAAAAGAAACTAATAATCTGACCATGCACGATGTGTCTTTTATAGCCAATTTATTCAAGTAGCTTAATTGGAGGGAGCAGGTAATGTGATCCGGATGTGTTGCCAGATTTCCAGTGCTGCCTTATGCATTCCACCCAGAAAGCTGCCTGGACAGAGCTCAGCAGGAGTGTTTTTTCCAGGAGGAAGGACAGGCTTACATAAGACAGTCATTAGAGCATCAAGGGCGCCCTCTTCCGGAAGCCAGTGAACTGAACCTTAAATATGAAAGGGTGTTTCATGTTTTCTAGTAAGTAGGTGTCTTTTCTACAATATTTTTGCTCTCAGGAAAGAGACACCAAGTGGTAAATAAAAATTCAAGTAAAAACGTATGAAATAAAAATTCCTAGTATTATCTTTCCTTTTTTTAAATTTTTGGCCGTGTTGGGTCTTCGTTGCCGCACGTCGACTTTCTCTAGTTGCAGTGAGCCGGGGCTACTCTTCGTTGTGGTGTGCGGGCTTCTCATTGCAGTGACTTCTCTTGTTGCCAAGCACGGGCTCCAGGCACGTGGGCTTCAGTAGTTGTGGCACGTGGGCTCAGTAGTTGTGGCTCACAGGCTTAAGTTGCTCCGCAGCATGTGGGATCTTCTCCGACCAGGGCTCAAACCCGTGTCCGCTGCATTGGCAGGCAGATTCTTAACCACTGTGCCACCAGGGAAGTTCCCCTAGTATTATCTTGAATGTAATTCCAGAATTACACTAATAAGGGATTGCTTATGCCCTTTTCCACCCTCCCCAAACAGTCCCAGTAAAAACAAATAAATAAATCACCCCCACCCCTGCCAAGAGCTTCCAGACTAGTTTTGGAAGCAAAGACAGAGAAAACTACAGACCATGTATTTTTGTGTCAGGAGGGGGTATTTTATAATCCAGTAATAGAAAAATTCAGAAAAAAGAAAGATGAAGGAAAATGTCATGAAGGAGGCATATCTGAAGATGCCATATAGGCAAGTGTTGGCAGGTGGAGGGTTGGTTTTCTAAAAAGCTGGGATAGCTTGCATCCATTTCTAATATTAAAGAGGTTTTCATGGAAAAACAGCCAGAGCTAGCTTTTTCCATATATTTTAAGAAAAAAATGTCAAGAAGCTAAAAATTTGAAAGAAAGTGACTGGACTGATTGAAAATTTTATATTTAAACTTTTAGGGCTGGCTTTGTACAACTGGAAACTCGTAGTTTAGAGGGACATTTGACTACCCCGATTTTTCAAGTCTTACTCTGTTAAAGAATTCTCATCATCTATGTAGACACTAGAGTCTTTTATGCTTGAGAAGTAAGTCACGTGTCTTACTGTCCAGACGGCAACAGTGGCTATGTTTTACCTGTCAGGCCTACCGAGCGGCGATGCAGACGCAGTGGAGCTGGATCCTGCAGCTCTGCCAGTGCGTAGAGAAGCACATAAAGGATAACAGCGCTTATTTTGAGGTATGGAGGCAGAATCACCGTGTCAATCGATGGTATTGCAATTTTGGCCGAGTTACAGAAAACATTTCCATAATGTACTGTTAAGATGCATGTATGTAGTGTTCAGGGGAAAGAAACCAAAATGTTTTCTTTGTAGGGTATAGGGATATATGTTCTTCAGGGTAAATGGAAGCATTCTAGTAAGGAAGAAATACTTTAAAAATGCTTAAAATGTCAGAAAATCTTAATTTTGTCCATGCTTCTCTTATTAAGGAACTATTTCATTACAGAGAGCTTTCTTTCTGTTCTTCAGAAGTTTTAAAATATTCTTGGAATTTCACCCCCGATTAACAGCTGTTTGGACCCTAAAGTGAAATAGAAGTTCAGTCAAAATAATATCGAGCCAAAACCACAGTATACAGAGAAACTTTGTTATATATATATATGTATATATTATTTTTCATGTTCTTTTCCATTTTGGTTTATCACAGGGTATTGGATATAGTTTCCTGTGCTATACAGTAGGACCTTGTTGTTTATCCATCCTACATATACCGGTTTGCATCTTCTAATCCTAAACTTGCAATCCATCCATCCCTCCCCCACCTTCCCTCCCCCTTGGCAGCCACCAGTCTGATCTCTATAGACATAAACTTTGGATGGACAATTAGAATTCATTCATCATCATCCAAGTTCAAGAATTGGTGTTTGGTTAAAGGAATGATTTTGGCTAAGTTGTCTTGTGATCATATTCTGTTCCCATGTAGGAGGGGTCCACACAGGGCTCTGGTACTCGAACCTGACAACTCTGGGCTTTGCTGACATTACATACACTTTAACTGCCAGTTTTCATCTTTCCTTAGTTTTTCAATGATGCCAAAGAAGCCACGGATTACTTGAGGAATCTAAAAGATGCCATTCAGCGGAAGTACAGCTGTGACAGGTCCAGCAGCATTCACAAGCTGGAGGACCTCGTTCAGGAATCAATGGTATGAACAGGAAAACCTGCAAGTTTCATCAGTGATGTATAGTGAGGACTAGATTAGTGCTTTATTCTGTTTTCTATGTGCAGAACTTCATGTTTAATTGGTACTCTTGATATTTCTGCCTCAATCAAGCATTTAAGCATTCAGTTTTAGTGTTTTTTGGTAACAAATACAACAAAAGTGTTTTTCATGTGATTGCCTGAATATTTTAAAATGCTTTCACTGTGTTGTGTGTGTCTGTGTTTAGTCATTCATTCCATAAATACTTGTTAGCATTTCTGTATCCCAGACACTATTTTAGGTGCTGGGGATAGAACAGTGAACAAAACCGACAAGAATCCTGCTTATATGCTGGGAATGGGGCTCAATAAACATGATAAATTAGTAAATATACGTAGTATGTTAGATAGTGGTAAATGCGAAGGAGGAAAGAAACAACCAAACAAAACAAGGGAAGAGAGGTGTCAGCGGGGGTGGGGAGGGATTGAAAGCTTAGACCACATGGTCAGGGAAGATTCTTCTGGTGAAGTTCATTTAGGCAAAGCCCTAAAAGAACAGAGTGCACACGTTTTTTACTTTTAAAATCCATCTGATTTATTCCCTAGGAAGAGAAAGAAGAGCTTTTGCAGTATAAAAGCACAGTCGCAAGCCTGATGGGGAGAGCAAAAACAATCATTCAGCTGAAGCCAAGAAATCCTGACTGTCCACTCAAAACTTCTATTCCGATCAAAGCCATCTGTGACTACAGACAAATTGAGGTACTTTAACTCCTAGAAACAGACCAGATCCTGGCATTATTCATATATTTAAAAAATGAGGTCATATTGCTCATTAGTGGTAAAGTTTTCCGCCTCAAAAATACAAAAAAAACCCCAAGATTGGATGTGGAAAAAGATGAGTACCACAGTGACCTCATCTTGTTATTCTGTTCTTCTTTTAAAACCAGATAACCATTTTCAAAGATGATGAATGTGTTTTGGCGAACAACTCTCATCGTGCTAAGTGGAAGGTCATCAGCCCCACTGGGAACGAAGCCATGGTCCCGTCTGTGTGCTTCAGTGTCCCTCCTCCAAATAAAGAGGCGGTCGACTTTGCAAACAGGTTTGTGCGCACTAGCTCCAGATGTAGGCCTGGCTGTGGAATTCTCTGAAGGTTAAAGAAACAATCAGTGCTTTGACAAGGCTCATAGGATCAGGAGGACCTAGAACTAGGAAACCTAGTATATGTCACAAACAAAGAAAAATTGTAGCGTGTGGTCAGAGGGAGTGGAAAGGCTGAATCTGAGTTTTCTTTCGTATATTTCAGAATCGAGCAGCAGTATCAGAACGTCCTGACCCTTTGGCATGAGTCTCACATAAATATGAAGAGTGTGGTCTCCTGGCACTATCTCATCAATGAAATTGACAGAATCCGAGCTAGCAATGTGGCTTCAGTAAGTATAAATCTACACATCCACCTAACCTGTCCAAAGATTTGGGACCCCTTGTCTCGAGGGGTGAGTTCTGTATTTTCTCTGGGGTAAGATGGAGTCGAGCAGATCCATGATAATAGTCATTCATTCAAAGAATATCTGTCCTACGCCTGCTGTATACGAGGCATTTTCTAAGGACTGGGGAATCTGGAAATCCCATACATCATTCAGGGCTTACATTTTCATTGGGAGACACAGTATAGTGTTTGGGCATATAGAGATGGGTGTAGTTTGATTTCATTTATTAAATTTTATAGTCTTGTTTTTTCTCATCTTTTAAAACCTAAGACTGTAAATGAAGAAAAAATTAATTTCCAGTGGTTTTCTATTTATGACTATTAACATAAACTCATGTCCCATGAGACCCACTTGAGATCTGTCCTTTTGAAATTTTACTCTTAGTTCTATAATGGATCACTGGTCTTCTTTAGATAAAGACAATGTTACCTGGTGAACATCAGCAAGTTCTGAGTAATCTACAGTCTCGTTTTGAAGATTTTCTCGAAGATAGCCAGGAATCCCAAATATTTTCAGGTTCAGATATAACACAACTGGAAAAGGAAGTTAATGTGTGTAAGCAGTATTATCAAGAACTTCTTAAATCTGCAGAAAGAGGTAAAGTATGGGAATCCTTGCCTTTTTTTCCCCATGGGTGTTTAGTCCAGGCTATTTTCTGCTATCAATGGGAATCTCAATCTTAGGTATATTTTGTCACTCCACCTGTAATAGGTAGAAACAATGATTAGAACATTAAATGCATGTTTGAGGTAGGAAGATTCAAGGAGGGATTCAGTTATTTCCAAATGATGAATTAATAAAAAGATGTCAACCAAGTCGTATGACAATGAATTCTTAGTGTATCTACTTTTAAACATTTTCACTATTTTGCAGTGTAATGTTCAGAGTGATGATCTTTTAGTTTCAGAAAAGTTTCAAGTATTTTTCCGTATACCAAACTTGGATTTTTTAAAGACTTTTTCTTAGAGCAGTTTTAGATTCACAGCAAAACTGAGAGCAAAGGGCAGAGATTTCCTATAACCAAACCTGAATTTTATACGGGGGTTGAAGGAAAAGATTTTGTCTTGTTAACTTCTGTTAAATGTAAATTTTATTCCAAACACTTGATATAAAGAGACCAAAAAAACTTAGTAGTAATACTCTATTTAAAAAATTTTTAAACATTAACATAATCTTTACCTTTCATTTTAAAGGATTTTAATTTAGCTTTTATTACTAATCTGCTACTAACATAATTCACACTTTTGTGAACACAAAAGAGAGCAATATATTACTTTCCTTAGACATCATAAATCAGATATTGGTACTTTAAGTGGCATTGGGGAAATTTTATTAAATCTTCGTGAATTGTAATGTCCACGATTTCAAGGTTTATATCCTTGGGGTGGATTTGTGGTGATAACTGGTAACATTAGTTTGACTAGCTGTGTTTTAGTAGTAGTAAAACTGCCATGTTAAATCATGAACGAGAACATCCAAAAGATAGAAAATGAGGTATTTTCTAAACATTACATTTATTTTCACAGAGGAGCAAGAGGAATCAGCTTATAATCTCTACATCTCTGAAGTCCGAAACCTCAGGCTTCGGCTTGAGAGCTGTGAAGACCGTCTCATCAGACAGATCCGCACCCCCCTGGAGAGAGACGACCTTCACGAAAGCGTGTTCAGAATCTCAGAGCAGGAGGTGAGGCTGAGAAGTGTGTGGGGACAAGATTAGCACAGATTACTGTCTTAATGACCTTTACTGTTGACTCTGCGACCTCTCACGCTCTCCCTTTGCCAGGGGTCACTTGGTGAGGTCTGCCTATGTACTTAACGCTGATGGCAGATGAGGATTCTGTAATTCAGTTCTGTCTCTCACTTGGGTAAACACAGGAACACGTACTTTCTCACCCATTTATGTGGAGGCTGCGAGGGCTTCTCACAGTTTCTCACCTGCTCCACGCACAAGCAGTGAATTAGATGTTTGGGCCCGAGGAGATGGACAGTGAGGGAATGATTGATTATGAAACTTGACTGCTTTGGCGTCATTTCTTTGATAAAGAAAAAGTAAAGAGTATGTAAATGTTTTGCAACTAGAGATGATCATACTAAGTGAAGTAAATCAGAAAAAGACAAATACCGTATGTTATCACTTATATGTGGAATCTAAAATACGACACAAATGAACATATCTACAAAACAGAACCAAACTCACAGACATAGAGAACAGGCTTGTGGTTGCCAAAGGGAAGGGTGGTGGGGGGAGGGAAGTACTGGGAGTTTGGGATTAGCAGATGCAAACTATTATATATAGAATGGATAAACAATAAGGTCCTACTGTGTAGCACAGGGAACTATATTCAATATCCTGTGATAAACCATGATGGAAAAGAATATGAACAAAATGTATGTATGTGTTTAACTGAATCACTTGGCTGTACAGCAGAGATTAACACAACATTGTAAATCAACTACACTTCAATTAAGAAAAAAGAATACGTACATGTTTAAGTCAAGGGTCATAATGGGAAATGTGTATTTTTAAAGTGTTTGAAGAAAGAGACACCATCTGGAGTGATAGCCTAATCCTCATGTTTGTTCTCTGTTGTGTAGAAACTAAAGAAAGAGCTGGAGCGACTTAAAGGTGATTTGGCCACAATCACGAGTAAATGCGACGACTTTTTCAGTCAAGCAGCCGCCTCTTCCACGGCTCCCACCTTGCGATCCGAGCTCAGCGTGGTCGTCCAGAGCATGAACCACGTCCATTCCATGTCCTCCACCTACATAGAGAAGTATGGAACCACTGCCTTAATAGAAATCATCTAAACTGGCTTTATGAAAGTGCCACTTATATATATAGGTTGTTTAGCCAAAAATGTCCATTTTTAAGAATACAAAATATTTTTCTTAATAACAAATATATTAAATATTTCTGTGGACTTATGATGCATCTTCATGCTGAAAGGGATTGTGAGCTTCAGAGACTATAGCATTAATGATCTTCCCACATGTTGCCTATAGTTTTGGTAGCTTAGCTGTTGTAGCCTATAGGACTTTCCTCCCAGGCTTGGTCTAAATTAGGTTTGAAAGAAGCCCCTCTGCTTTTGGAATCTCCTGCTGCA